AACTGACCACTGAGGAGTTACAGGAACTGGAGAACGATGAGCATCAGACTAGAATGGATAGACTCTCTTCTGACTCAGAGGAGGAAGAGATAGAAGAAGCTCCTTCTTCATTAATCAAAGAAATCCTTGCAAAATAAATGGATGTGAAAAATTTTGCAGAAAAATACCACCCTAACAAAGTTCAAACAAATCGAAATAGCATCGCTTGGGAAGATCAGACAATGTCACACTTTAGAGACATCCTGAGGAGAAGATAGACACAAAGTTCTTTGGACAGATTTTTAATACAAGTTGCTGATCCTAGTGAAAAGAGACAGAAGGTGGAAAAGTAAAAAGACCAGAATGGGACTCTTCTTCCATAGAATAGAAAATTTTTTGTTTTTGTATTTTAGTGTTAAGGAGAGTTTAATTTGATTTGATTTAGATTTAGTGATTTAAATAATATAATACAATATACTGTAATAACTTTAAAAATCTACAATAAATTTTTTTATTAATGTGCTCAAACAGTGTTTAAATCATCTTACAACCCCATTAATATACCATATCAAGACGGTTTTTTCACGAGAACGGATTAATCATTTTTGCATTACTTCTTATGGGAAAGGTTGGTTTGGTATACGTCCTATTCGGTATAAGTCCAAACATCAGGAACGGATTAAGGTCGTATACCGAGGTTCCACTGTACTTTTAAATATACATTGACAGTAAGTAATTTTTGTGTAGGTTCAATTATTTCAAAATTTTAAAACCTTATCACAGTTTAACACTTAAACGATTTCATATTTTTAATAAACATTAGTGTGCTGAAATAATTTACATATATTGTAATAAATATTCTATACTATGTAAGAGAGAAGGTAGCAAAATTACTAATATTAATACTTGACCTGTCAAATTTGTTGTGCTGTGTTTAGACTAATTTAATTAACTATATAATTTTGCCTCAAGTAGAAAGACTGCCAACTTATATCAACACTGTCAACTTGCCTTAAAACAAACACCAACAAAGCAAACTTTGCCACTGCCCTGGCAAAACACCATTGTCCCAATGTCAATTTTCATGTGTTATAACAAGCAAAAATTTTACTAGAATTTGTTAAACCAAACTGTAAATCACCTTCACAATTCCCAAGAAATAACCCTGTTTCTAATCATGGTTGCTTTTTACACTTTTTAATGTAAACCATAAAAAGTGGTACTATAATAAATGTTCCATTTTCAGTAGAATAGATTTTCTTATCCTAGTAAGCAAAGATGGTTTGATCTCTAAATAAATACCAATTATGGATATATTTAGAGTAAGCAATACAGCAATTCAATCATATGGTTTTAGCTGACCATTCTACTGTACTCAGAAAATAGGGTTTAAAACATCAGGGAACTATGTGAAAAAAAAAATTACTTATTGCACAGATTTTTGTGCTGATTATGAATATATGCTATATTTGATGCATTTAATCTGTTTTGTCAAAATTATGCTATAAAGTTGCTCTTATTTGAGGTGCCATTTAGCATCCTGGCACTGTAATTTACTACTACACCCTTGGGTTAAGGTTTACAGATGCCCACCCTTTTAAATGATGCAGTCCCATGCAAATTCATGCTAGTTTGCATATTGGGGAATGAATATAGTGATGTCAGGTTTGGCTGCTTTGGCCCAAATATGGCTCCTTTTTTTTACTCTTTTGGCACTAAAAAATACTTTCTACTTTTTCAATCTTCAACAGGAGGGAAAAATACAAAGATATTTTTTTAGCTTTGTTTAACCACTCTGATATACTGCTCCATACTTAGGGCAATTTCACATTATGACCAACTGGACTAATTCCAAGTTATGTTGCCATGACAACAGCAGTAGGCTGTCCAACTAGTACCACCAGACAGACATATTTAAGAAGTTAAATATCTGTAGTCAAGTAAGGCTATAGCCAACCAGACTTTGAATTTATGAAAATCTATGTAATGAGAAAAAATGTGAAAAAATAAAATTGAATTAAATTAAAATAATAATAATAATAACTTTTCAGAATCATTCTTAAACAAAATAAGATAATAGCGAAGTTGAGGCCAAAGTTTTAAACACGAAAACATGTACATCGGACATTCAGTGCCGCTTTCCTGTAAGCCTAGAAGATTGACAATGGTGTTTGGATAGTCAGTGGACTCATGCTCAACATTCCAAACACCACTGTCATACTTCTAGGCTTACAGGAAAGTGGTGCTGAACGTCTGACGTACACGTTTTCGCGTTTAAAACTTTGGCCTCAACCTCACTAATATCCATGAATTGAAGATGTTACTCTGACAGATTACAAAGATGTTTTTAAAGAAATTACAATGATTGACCGGTGTGTTGATTTGTAAAACCTCATTCTGATTGGTCAAAATAAATTGGCTATAGACACAAGTGTATTCAATGTGAAGTCTTTTACCATCAGTTGAGCTGATTATAGAATTGATTAAGTCAGCCCAGTTGGCCATAGTGTGAAATTGCCCTTAATTGGCAAATATCATCTCATTATGTCTGACTTGAAAATCATTCAGAACATTTTGAATTAACATGAGTTGACTGTTTTAAAATGTAATTGTAATTATTAATAAATTATAGCAAATAATTGAAAATACACCAAATTCTTAATAATTTTATTAATTAGTCAAAGTTAATTAAAATATTAAATTCATAAAAATATACAAATTGTATAGCAAACTGAAAAGTTATTACCCAGGAGGTTTATTATATACAAACAAAATGAACAATGCATATATGTATGAAAGTTTAAAATATCAGCAGTGAAGTTCACNTAAACTACTATAAAGTAGTGCAACATTTGATTGCTAATAACTCTGATCAACACTTTTAGTGAATGCTACAAATTTAAAATAGAGTTTGTATACTTTTAACGTAGTTATTAACTAAATTTTATTAAAATTTATTAGAAGACACTCCAACAGTTTCTTTGTGAGTGGTACAATGTGAGGATAAATTTACAGAATGATGAACTCCAACCCTTTCAACACATTTTATGGCCTGACCAGGCACTGTTTTCTCAGAATGGAGTTTTATAACTATTACAATGTTCTCCATCACCAAGCAGTACATGCTCTGTGATGCATGCATGTGATATCAAGTGCATTTTACCCTAAATATCTACTGTGGAATACAGTAAACAGCTTTCTGGTCTCATACTCATTGATAGCATCCTAAATAGCAGTGATTGATATCTGAAAATCCTAAATACTACAATGGACAAATGGCTTGAAGACTTGCCACTGGCACATCATCTCATTCCTGGTCAGAAGCGTCAGTGGCTCACAGAGCAGTTTGGTAATCACTGGATAGAACAGAACAATCCTGTTCCATGACCATGTTTCCTAGACTTGATGCTTCTGGATTTTTCCTATGGGGTTGGCTAAAACAAAAAATAAGTTTTTTTAATCAAATAATTTTGTCATAACTTATTAAAACACACAACAGTATTAAAATAGAAAGTCATTTCAGAATTAAAGATGTAACATACAAAAGAATACATTTTATACATCTTTATTGGTGTCAGAAATAAACCAAATAAATGAATCTTTCACATATAAATACACTGAAATATATAGCTACAGATAACAGAGAGAGGCTGAATGTGAGGAGACAACATGCCACACAGATGTAGCAGACAAAAAATGAAACAGGAAAAAAAAGGGCGTGATCTACGATCAAAAGAATGCAAAGTGCCTCAACAGTATACAGTACAGTCTAATACAAAATATGTTCTAGCACATAAATCACATTTTTACTTTCTTTCACAATTAGTTTTGAGATCACTAAATAATTCAAAAGATATTGTAACTTTATATTCATCTAAAAATTTTCATATCTGTATGAGTCAATTATTGATCTTAAAAAAAAATAAAGTTGTATAAAATTAAATAACTGAAAGTAATTCAAAAATGATTGGAATAATAATAACTACAATATTGAACACATGCAACATTGTTAGAAGTTTCTAGATGTTGACATATATGCCAATAACACAGAAGTATAATGTAACACTTATCTGGAAAGCTATGCCTTGACTTTAATCTGGCATAGCCCTTGCAATCATAACATAACATAACATTTGAAAAAAAAAACAATAATAATAAAAAGCACCCTTTCCCAGAATCCCTCCCTTATGTTCATAGTTGTTTTAACAATTAAACAATAACTATACACAATATTTTCCACCAGTCATTGCACAGTATTAGCAAATGAATATTTTTTACTTTGTTCAGTTTGTTTTCAGTCAATTTATTTTTAACTTAAACAGACTATAAATATAAATTATCATCTATAATTTCAGAAATACTTACTTGCTTTTCCTACACATACGATATGGAAGAGGTCCTAATATACGCTCCATCATTGCCAGATGTTCTCTGTTATCATGTGTCTAAAATAAAATAAAATAAGATAAGATAAATAAAGTGCTATAAAATAAGAATTTAATAACAAAAACAAACATTCCAACCTGAAAAAGTGTAATTCCCAAATAAAGTTCAAATAAAATGCATCCTATGCTCCATACATCACAGGGTTGATTCCAACCAAGTTCTGAAAACATGAAAAGAATAATAAAGTCATAATACATCTTTATGACTTTGGTAACAGTTTTTCCAAAACATAATTATTTGCTTTTAAGAGATTGCACAAATTATAAATATTTAAATTTTTTTCTGATATATTTTTTTTTATTCAAATATTGGGATATAGAATAAACTTTTAATTTAAACAAAGTGTAAGCAGCCAGTACTGTGTTGCACATGTGCATGCATTGTTGAATGCTTATACATTTACATTAAGCATATTTGAGATTTGAAATTCTTCTTGGACAATTCAAAAGTAGCAACAAAGCTTGCACGTACATGCCATTTAAGAGATATATATATATAAATATAAAACCATAAAAATAGTGAGGAGTCTTTTAAAAATAAACAAATTCCTGGAAAAATTAATCTCTAAAATACTTTAATTTTAACTTTTTCTCTACTATAAATACAGGGTGTCCATTTAAACATCAATCAGAGGCAAGAGTTCCAGTACTGTTTAGGTTAAGTTAGGTAAGAATATGGACTACAGCAAACAAATACACTAGATATTACATTAATATCATATGCACCACCCATTTCACTGCTATTTCCAACCGCATAACATGCAGAGGATAAATTAATAAAATTTTGTATACTTTTAACATAATTATTAACTAAATTTTATTAATTCTTCAACCATTTTTGAAAATTCCAGAATTTATTCTAAATGTAATATCGCCATCTTCCTCCACGACCCTTTCACTTCTAAAAATTTGCGTAATTGTTCTAAACTACTATAAAGTAGTGCAACATTTGATTGCTAATAACTCTGATCAACACTTTTAGTGAATGCTACAAATTTAAAATAGAGTTTGTATACTTTTAACGTAGTTATTAACTAAATTTTATTAAAATTTATTAGAAGACACTCCAACAGTTTCTTTGTGAGTGGTACAATGTGAGGATAAATTTACAGAATGATGAACTCCAACCCTTTCAACACATTTTATGGCCTGACCAGGCACTGTTTTCTCAGAATGGAGTTTTATAACTATTACAATGTTCTCCATCACCAAGCAGTACATGCTCTGTGATGCATGCATGTGATATCAAGTGCATTTTACCCTAAATATCTACTGTGGAATACAGTAAACAGCTTTCTGGTCTCATACTCATTGATAGCATCCTAAATAGCAGTGATTGATATCTGAAAATCCTAAATACTACAATGGACAAATGGCTTGAAGACTTGCCACTGGCACATCATCTCATTCCTGGTCAGAAGCGTCAGTGGCTCACAGAGCAGTTTGGTAATCACTGGATAGAACAGAACAATCCTGTTCCATGACCATGTTTCCTAGACTTGATGCTTCTGGATTTTTCCTATGGGGTTATCTAAAAGTGCATGTATGATGCATACCCAGCAGCATTGCATAATGTCAACAAACTGAAGAGATGCATATGAAAAACTGTGAAATGATGACATTAGGAATGCTACATGCAATCATTAACATACAACATTATCATTAACATTTACATAATGCCACACTCAATCATTTACATGTGCAACTACCATCAAAGGCAGTTGTTTTGAACATGTTCTCTAACAGAACAAAGTTCACTTTTTATAGCAATTTCTGCAATATTGTCTTTATCTTTTATAGTCAGAGATTATTTGTATGTTATGCTAAATCATCTTAAATTGATTCCCTGTGGTTATTTTAGCACTGGAACAAGCATGTACTATAGGCACACACTTGTGAAATGCTGAAAAGATCTCTTTATCCTCTGGATAAATGTTTAAGTGGACACCTTTTCAACAAATTTTTATTGCCTTTAACCTATCCCAAGTTAAAATTTTTCTCCGTTGCATGTGGCTGCCATGTTGAATTTTTGTCAATGTTAAGCCTAACAAAAATTTTTTTAAAAAAGTAATAAGTGTGGCTACTGTATCGTTAAAAATTATTTTTTTATTTTGCACAAACAAAATAAATATATTGAAAAATATAAAAACAAAAAAAATTATACTTCAAGTTTGTTTTAATATAAAAATTATGATGCACAGAGACATCTAGTATCAAAAACATAGCAATACTGTAACGAGATATATTGAATTTAACCCTGCGGGTCAAAGGTCATGATCCCAATGTGTGTCGGGAATAACATAGTGAGGTTAAAGTAATTTACCTAATTGTCAACAAGTATGAATAAACATTCCTCTCCAACCGTTTTTACAATATAGTGGAACCTTACTTAATGAGCATAATTCATTTCAGTATCTTACTTGTAATGCAACACTCGTTAAGCAAAACAATTTTTCCCATATAAATTAATGTAAAATACGATAATGTGTTCCATGCAAAAAAAAAAAAAAAAACACTCAAATATTTTATGTATAATGTTTATTCAAAGAAAATTATACAATATATATTGTTAAGGAGTGTGAATCATCTTCATCTTTCCTTCTAGCGTGAAATGAACCAACCTGGAATGCGAGTTCAATTTGCAGGGATGGAAAAAATATATCACAGCTAATATGTCTGATAAACACGCCAAATTCTTGGGCTATGCAAAGGCTATAATTAAATATTAGAAATTAATTAATTTGACTAGAGGTAGGCAGTCATGCTGCCATCTTGTATTAAATTTAATGACCAATTCCAAATTAAATTTTAAAACTGTCTAAATTAAAAATTATTTATTATATTTATAAT